GGGGGGGGGGGGGGGGGGGTGTGCCACCTTATTCCCGGTGACGCTCAGCGTGGGACTGATTCTGGGCTGCAGACGGGTCTTCGTGGTTCAACCCGATATGTCCCTGTTAGGAAGACTTGGACAGAGTTTATGGGTGGCGAGTAAGCCGGGTGGCGTGGAGTTTCCAGGGGAGTTTGGGAAATGCCAGATCAAACAAGAATAGGGCTAGAGAGTTTCTTCCATTCCAGGATTCCGAATGCTCAGGATTTCTGCGTCCATTGGGAATTGCCCAGTGAGGGAGTCGTCAGGACCTCCCCAAAGTTACGTGATCGAGGTCCCTCACCCCATTTTTTCTTTCAACGTATCGCCATTCACGGAGTCTGGGAGCCCTCCTTTGAACCCCTGCGCCCCTGGGTCTGCGTCTCCCCAGGCCCCTCTGACCACCCTCCCTTCCCAGCTCCCCACCTGCCGCCACCCCTCACGGCAGCCCCCGTCAGTCCTGCCCCCTGCTGCTGCTGCTGCTGGGGGGCTGGGAGGCGTTTCTCCATTTGCTTGAGGTAGAGTGAGACTCGTGCTCACTCCCAGGTGCATCTCTACCAGGTTTATGTGTATTCGGAGGCCTTGGGTATTTGTTTTTTCTCTCCCGTTGTAGCCCCCTCAGAGAGTTCTGAACCCCCTGGTCTGGGGGTTTGTAATAGGGTACAGCTGGGCCCCGAGGACATGGCAGCCCTCCCGGAGCCCGCCTGCCGGGCCAGCCCCTCCGACCTCCCAGCGGCTCCACCAGCCACCCAGCCGGGGTGGGAAACATACCTGTACCTAAGATTTCTTCAGTGTCGGACTGTTGTTACTTTGTTTCCTGAAATAGAAAAAGGCGGTTTAACAGAAAAGAAACTGTGTACCTGGAGCCCAGGCTGCCTGCTGGGGTCCCTTCTTTGGCTCAGGTATATTCCATTTTGGGGAACACAGTTAGCGAGGCGCTGATGCAGAGACTAGCATTTTAGTGTCTGTGCACCCACTTGACCGGCTGTGAGTCACAGGGAGGAGAAGGAGAGTGGAAGGGACAGGGACATATTTGGCCAAGCAGGTGTCGAATTGCACACTGCAGTCTTTCCCTGACAGTCAGTAATGCAAAAGCTAAGGTGTGTGGTTACTGGTTGGTCTGTCGGAGCGACTGGGGTGAGGACTCTTCTGTTTGGGAAGCATATAATGTACTCGGGCAGTACATTATGTAATAACTCCTGTGAGTCCCTGGGGCCCTTTGGGGAAAGAACCTGGCTGTGAGTAAATAAAAAGTAGAGATTTACTATATTTGCAGTTACATATGTGCACCTGTCAGTGATGTCCCCTGCTTCCCAATTCACAGGTACTGTGTGAACCACAGGTACTGTGTGAACATGCATAACCAGAGACCCTCTAAGCACCCACCGTGTGGTCTCCCCCACACCCACCATGCCTGGCTTGACCAGTCTGTGCGTGTTCAGGTGCACACATACGTGCACACAGTTTCTAAGTGGAGTGTCCATACGGGGCTGGACATTTGGACAAACACACGAGACAGCCTGGCTCAGCCCACAGGACCGTGGCAGCCCACGGCGCTCTGTCCCCAGGGCCACCTTTGCCCCGTTACCCTGTGAGCTATACGCAGAACACCGTGTGGGCCTCCCCCCTGAGGTGGCACCTGCTCGGGGTTTTCTTGCCGCTCGTGCTTTCACAGCTCTCTTTGAAGCAGACGTCCTGGTGCACCTTGTAGACTCTCTTATACCTGTGTCACGAGAAAGTTCTGTGAAGCCAGAAACTAGAGCAGGACGTTGCCCAGCTGCCTCACCTAGGCTTCACGGGCCCGCAGTGACCGTGCACGTGTTCGAGGGACAGGTCGTTATTTTCTAAATAAAACTTTATCTCACGTGGATGTAATAAAATGTCCAACATAAAAGTCATACAATTAAAAAAAAATTGACTGCCCTGAGGCATAATTTACATAAGATACACCCATTTTAAATGTGCATTTTGAGAAATGTGAGCAAAATAACGACATTAAGACATGAGAGGAGAAATTTCAAGCACGTGTTTTGCTGAAGCCTTGATACAGTACGACTTTTCTGTCTTAGGGGCAGTTCTTGGAGAAGTTTGAGAGCCTTGAAGATGCAGGTGCTTGTCATGGACAGTGTAGACTCCAGCCCTGCCTCCCATTTATTAACTAGTCTATTTGGAGTGTGTGTCTGGAACTTAGGCCTCAGTTTTGTGTGAAACGGGAATTATTTGTGTTACCTCTCACAGATTTGTAGACAATAATGAACAGGAAAGTGTTTGTTGTTAAAGCTCTCAAATGTCAGAGCTGTTGGAAAGGGAGATCCAGGGAGTGTGATGGGCAGACCTCCAACTCATGTTCAGTCTAGGAGAGCCCTTGGGACTTAAAGCCTTTGGTTAAGTCTCACAGTTGTGGCCATCAGGGAGTAACAAGATCTGGAGTGAACCCCCCAATACGAACAACCGGAGAACTGGACAAAATGTAAGCAGCAGTTTTCAGATGTTAGAAAACATACAGTGCAAGACTGTGGTCCTTGAGACAAGGGACATATGAAATGAGCCCTGTAACCCCTGAATTCAGTCTGGAGGCATGTTTTGGACCGCACTGCAGGGTGGTGGCAGT